TAAGTAGCCTCAACCAATTGATCAAAAAAATCATCAACTCTTAGGAGAGGATACTTATTTTTGATTGTCAGTTTATTCAGCTCCCGGTAATCAATGAACATTCTCATTGATCCATCCTTCTTTTTCACAAAAAGCACCGGCGCACCCCATAGAGAAGTACTTGGTCGGATAAAACCTTTATCCAACAATTCTTTCAATTGTGACATTAACTCCTTTAACTCAGAAGGAGCTAATCTATATGGTGCTCGTGCAACAGGTGCTGCTCCAGGAAGTAATTCAATTTGAAATTCAATCGTTCGATCAGGAGGTAGACTCATCAAATCTTCTGGAAATACGTCAGGAAATTCTCTTACGACTAGGATATCTTCCATTTTTCCTTTTTTTTCTTCATATCTATAGCATATGCAAAAAAACTAACACATCCCTTTTGTACATACTTTTGAGCCTTTAGAACTAAAATAAGGCTAGAGTAACGATCCCGTCGATCCCCATAAATCACAACCTTTCCTTTTTTTGGTAAGTCTATATGGATCATCTTCTCATCACAGACTATGTTGGCTTGGTTTTTAGCTAATCAATCCATGCCTATAATTATATCAAATTCCCTTAAAGGTAAATGAAATAATTGTATAGGCACCTCACACCCTTCTATACTTATCAAACATCCATCTATCCTTTCCTTAACCAAAATTTCACTATCAGTTGTTGTTTCCACAATTAAATCCTCACTTAACGCCTTAGATTCTAAATGTGCGCAGTTAACAAAAGATGGTGATACAAATGAACGATTTGCACCCGAGTCAAATAAAACTTTGGCACATACTGAATTAACAAGGAATGTACCTGTCACCACTTCAGGATGCTCTTTCGCCTCGCCTCTCGTCATCTGAAAGGCTCTCCCTTTAACATTTGACTCCCTACGTCTGATCTCTCCTCTACCATTTGGGTTAATACGAGTGTCCATTGACCCACGACCTATTGGCACATAACCAGATCCTCGTCCCCTAGAATATCCAGATCCTCGACCTCAAACAAAACCAAACCCTCGTCCCTTCGTTTGCGGACAATCAGCATTTACATGTTGAGAGGAATTACAAGTAAAACATCTTCGCATCATTCGACAGTCTCGAGCTATATGTCCTGGTTCCTGACATTTAAAACATATTCAGGACACTATATTGCAATTTCCTTGATGTATTTTGTGACATCGGGTGCAAGCCTTATCAGCAAACCTTGAGACTGGTCGATTAAAATTTTCCATAAACCTCGGTCTATGGAAATCAGACATTGCAGCTTCCCCCTTTCTTTTCTCTCCAACCTTTTCTTGTGGTTGTCGATTGATATCTTGTTCCAATATTTCAGCAGCATCAACTGCTGCTTGAAATGTTGTCGGATTTCTAGATATCACATATTTTCAAAGATTTGACTCCAAACCCCAGATATACTTTCTCACTTTACTGTTTTCTGATATAATGTAAGCTTCAGTGAATCGGGATTGTTCCATAAAGACTTTCGTGTACTGACGAACTGACATATTTCCTTGTTCTAGACGAAGGAAATCATCTTCTAGTTTCCGTACTGCCGCTTCAGGACAATACTGCATTTTAAATTTGACCACAAATTCCTCCCATATCATGGTTTTCAAAATGTTTGGATCTGAACTTGACAGAACTTCCCACCAGTACAATGCACTTGACCTCAATCGGGATACAACAAACATAACTTTGTCTTCTTCTGTACTTTTACTGATCTGCAGACTTAATTCAATTTCTTTAAGCCAACACATGGCTTTAACAGGGTCACGTTCCCCAGAAAATTTAGGAGGTTTACAAGCAAGAAATATTTTGATATACCCTCCTTTCTGAGCTGAGGACGAAGTAAGAGGTACAGATGTACCAGTTACCGGTGTACTAGCTCCGACGTCCTCCTGATAGTCGGGATTTCTTACTACTTCTAGGTTATTTTGTGTTGTACGTCCCAACAAGTTTACCAAACTTTCTTGGAACTTTCCCAACTCTGCTGCTAGCATTTCCTAAGTAATAAATCCGGGATCAGGAACATTGTGTCCACCCCTTGCCCTTCCTCTTCCACGGCCAGACATTGAACTTTCTTGGGCCGATAATTCCTGTTCTATATGAGTTCCATGTCTAGTACCTCTACCTTTTCTCAACCCCTGCTACGGCTTCGCGTTTCTATTATCATTACATTTTCCGAGTCTTCCCCTTGAGTCACATTTCTTCTTCCCCAACCTCTTCCATAACAGGTAGAGGTCATTTCCGATTGATTAGGATTTTCTGCCATTTCTCAGTGTATGTATCTTTCTGTCATATTTAAACACATATGATTATTCACATAATCAAAATATAATAAAACGTTTATCCTCAAGTCTATCCATAAGATAAGATTATATCAGTCATATATAATCTATCTTTCTCATAATAGGTTCTGCTATAACATATTCCCATGTTCATGGTCCCAGTGAAACCTATTATTATAACTTCCACACCTCTAGTTTAAGTCTAAGTATTTCACAAATACCCAGATCCCTTAAACTAAGGCTCTGATACCAACTGTAACAACCCACAATTTTCACATACAGATAATCTACATAAATATATTCATAAAACAAAATATAATATGTAAACGGTTAACAAAAACTTTCTTCAATACATTTATGAGCAACTAAATTTCATCAATTCTAAACTTTCCCTTTGCCTTTATCATGTGAGGCATGATGACCTACAAAATAGGTTAGTCCAACAACTGAGCATTAGACCCAAAAGGTCTAGTGAGTGTACAAATCTCATACAAATAACTTACTTTCCAAACTAGCAGTTTAGAATCAAACCAGTATAGATACAAACATTTTATCTATAATTGTTATAGAATCTTTTCCTTTTGCCTCTCTCGTGGTTACACCGCCATTTCATCTCTCTCGCGGTTACATTGCCATTTCATCTCTCTCGCGGTTACATTGCCATTTCATCTCTCTCGCGGTTACATTGCCATTTCATCTCTCTCGCGGTTACACCGCCATTTCATCTCTCTCGCGGTTACACCGCCATTGCATCTATATCGCGGTTACACCGCCATTGCATCTATCTCGCGGTTACACCGCCATTACATCTCTCTCGCGGTTACACCGCCATTAAATCTTTCTCTCGCGGTTACACCGCCATTACCATGATAAGAACTTTAATTCAAAATAAAGTCTGATCAATGTCAACCGGATTTGAAATCCGGACAACACTACCCGGATATGAAATCCGGACAACTTAGCCGGATATGGAATCCGGTCAACACTTGGTTAAATACACCGGATGATCCTTGAGCGATTTAACCCTTAATCTGGATGATGCATGAGCGGTTTAGCTCTAAACCGCATAACACTTGGGCGGTTTAAGGCTATATCGGACGATACATGAGTGGTTTGATGTAACCCCGGTCAATACTTAAGCGATTTATGAAGACATCTGATTGCCTCTTGGGCAGTTTAAGACAAATCCGGACGACACTTGTCCGGTTTAGATAGAACCCGGATAACACTTGACCGGTTTAGATGAAATCCGATCAACACTTGTCCGGTTTAAGGTGGTATCCGCATGATATATAGTGATATTCATAGTAAGGAAGTTTCAAATAGCATTGAATTGTATGCAACATTTAATACTCAAAGCATAACTCACTCACCTTTGATTGATTTTGTCCGATTATTGTCTGCGGTTTATCTTCACAATCTTTACTCTCAATGATTTTGCTCTCCACCAAAGAAATCCAACCCTTTTTCCTTTCATATGCACTTGCTATATATACCAAGTGCATAGCCGCCCTTCTTATAACAACATCACACTCACACACCAAAAATATACATACACCTCATATATATTGATATAAACATATTTCTAATTTCTTAAATCAAAATTAATAACCCAATTATTACAAGAAATTCATTTTGAGAACTAAGATGTATTTTTTTCAACTTTTAGTTCTTCTTCAAGATTAGAGATTTGTTTCTTTAAAACATATATTTTCAAATTAGAATCAAACTCAGGATTAGAATGCACAGTCCAATCCTGCTCGGTAGTTTCTTCGGTCTTATCATAATCATATATCACTTCAGTTTCTGAATCTGATTCTGATCATTTGAAAGATTTTCAACAATTTCAGGAGTCATGTTTTCAACAAATTCAGAAAGTTTTTTAGATTTTTTAGATGGTGATTCAAAAATAGATGAAGTTTTATTTTGAAAAGATTCAGTGGGATATAACGATTCAAGCTCGGTATGTGAAAAAGAAATTTCTCTTGTCTCGTAGATTGAATTTAAATCATCGTATTTTAACCCCAACTGATTTAAAATTTGTTTTATCAGATATTTCTTCATCAGATTTATCACTATCACTTTTATTAAAAATAAGTGATTCTGATTTGACGAAAATTTTCTTAATAGATGGAATTGCAAATTTAGCAGACCCCCATTGATCAAAATCATATAAAGATTTTAGGGCCTTTTTCAACGTTTCATTTTCCTGAAAACTAAAACCCATTTTCAGATTATAAAATATTGTATCTTTGGTTTATTGGTTAAAATCTTTAGAGTTTGTTCACATTGGTCTCTTTTAGAATTAATATATTCCAACAATTTGATTTTGTCATAAAGATATCTTCTTTCCTTAAAAATCACGTCAAACTTTAACTGAATATTATCCCTTTCGCACTCTACTTCATTCAACTTCCTCTTAAGTGACTGAAAATCATTTTCAATTTTAGTCTTTTCAGATCTTAGGATTTCTTGCTCTTCTCTCAGGCCCTCACTAAGACATTTATACCCACAACTTTCTTCTTTGAATTAAAGCACTAAAGCTCTTTTACATTTTAGTCTTTCTTTCAAGATTTTAATTTCAGCATTCATATTTTCAATCTCTTTTATTAGTTCAGCATTCAAAGAATTTTGTACCTCGATTCATTGTCAAATGATTAGGTTTCTGCCTCAGTCTTTTCCATCACATGTTGACTTGTGTAAAGTGTGCAGCTTCATCATCTGATGAATCTATCAGCCAGCTCTCTTCTTCAGCTACCAAGGCCTTGTCATCCTCAAGGGCTTTTGTAATATAAGCCTTCTTGAGATAATAACTTGAATCCTTGAACTTTTTAAAATGGCAGTTCTTGATAAAGTGACCAGGCTTCCCACAGTTGAAGCATTTGCTTTCTTCAACGTTTGTCTCCTTCTGGTCTCTGGCTTTTGAAAACCTTTCTTGCTTGACTTCCTTCCCTTTGCTCTTATCATATTTCACAAATTTCTTCTTCCCAAATCTCTTCTGAAACTTCTTGGTCAGCAAGGCAAGTTTCTTGGAAAACTCACGAATGTCATCATTAGAATCGGCAGAGGAATCTTTAGTTTATTCACTTTCAGATTGTTTTAATAATTCTGTATTCAAAGACTTTGAGTTCTTAGCTTCAGATCTACTTTTCTCGTGCTTCCCAAAGCAAAGCTAAGAAGTCAGCAACCTTCTTCTTTTCATTCATCAACTCTCTGAAGTCTCTTCTTGTTCAAACAAGATGTTGTACAAATCATGAATGTCTTCCTCAGACATATTCTTATTCATCTGAAAATTCGCTGCAAGAGTGTTCCATTCTGGCTTCAGATTTTTTAGAAACTTGTAGTTTATCTCAGACATGGAATTCTGAATTCCATTTCTCCTTATCAGAATCACATTGAATCGATTGTAGAATTCAGTGATTGATTCATTCTCTCTAGCCCTGAATCCTTCATAAGCACTAATACATTGATTCATCCTAGTCTGAACAGATTTTTCACTACCAAGCATCTGCTTTTCAAGCTCATCCCAAAGTTCTGTTGCAGATCCGTGACTATCTATTCTATTAAACAGCTCATTCGGAATTGCCATCAACATGTACGTCAATGCTTTCTTATCAAATCAAGACCTTCTGCTTTTCAATTTTAGTAAAATACTGAGGATCTTTCTTCCGTTTTGATACATGCACAACAATACCTTCTTCAGTTGTCTGTGCTGGAAGATCCATGTAACTAATGTAAGGTCCATTCTTGATTGATTGCATCAACTTTTCATCTTTATTGTCAAAGAAATGGATAATTCGAACTTTCTATTGCAGATATTCACCAACAGCAAGAACATGAGGCTTTGAATATGAACCAATACTCAACATGTCTTTAGACATTTGTGCAATATAGACTTGAAATTGATCATTTCAGAAAATAACTGGGACTGGATTTGAAAACTCACAAAGAAATTTTTTGACACTTGACAAAATTCCAAACAAATTTCTTATCGGACACAACTTAACACACAAGATATCGCACAATGAAGGTAGCTTATCAAACAACAAGTTGATTTTATCAGATAATCCTTTATTAGATAACGCTTTACCGAACAAAACAATAAATGGACTTTATCGAACAAAGCTAAGTACGATAAACAAAGTTATCGGACACGCCTATGGGCAATAAGAAGAGTTATCGCACACAAAGATGAGAGAAGAGGTTGACTTGAGCGATTAGAGACAATGAGCGATTAAGTAAGATGTCTGGACACAAAGATAATGATAAACAAGGGTCATCGAACACCCTTTTATGCGATGAGGAAGGATATCGCACCAGTTTTCAAGAGATGAAAAAGGGTCATCAGACACTTCTTTGATCGATAAGGTTCTTTATCGAACAAAACTGTACGCGATAAGACCCAAAAACAAACTTAATCTGCTTAAGTATTGAGCGATGAGAATCAATAGTTAGAAAAAAATCCATCAAGAATATTGAGCGATGAACAAACGAGTGACGAGTGATATTTCAAGCGATGAAAACACTTATCAAAGATTGAACACTTGAGTGATAAAATCAACTCCAACTATGACCGATGAACTCTTTGAGCGATATGAAAAACACTTAAGCACAAACTCAATGAGCGAGGAGTTCAACCCTTATCGGACGTTGCATATTCAATATCCGATGAGATGAACACTTTGAACTAGAAACTAAGAATTCACTCAAATAGCCAATAATTGCAAAATCAATGCAATTTCTTGCACAAATTTGTTCAAAATGCATGCAGAAACAGCTTAAACACAAACAATTACAACAAAGATGATTCAAACAGTCCAATTATGATCAAAAATGTCCAAAATCATAAACCCATCAATGTCGAACAAGATTTCAAGAAATCAATGCAGAAATTTAATCCTATATCCAATCCAGTCAATGTGACCCCAGATTCAAGTTTAAATCAATTAACCAAGAACATCAAGATGATTTGAATAAGTCGACAAGTGTATTCATGTCAAATGTGTATAAGTTCTTGATTACAATGTCTCTCAATTTGTATTTCTAAAATGTGTGTATGATTGTATATTATCAACTGTAACCAACTAACAACTACCATTTCCTATTTATAGCAATCACTAAAACATGAAACAAGCTAACATTACAAAGCAAGTAAAACAACTTTAAGCATGGGACTTGAATACAACATTTTGATCCAACAATATTCCTTTGCAAAAGATTGTTGAGGAAGGCCAATGACGAGTTCCAACTTGTTCAGCGTCTTGAAGTTGAGATGAGAAAGTCGTTTGTGCCATGAGAAAACAACTATTATCATTGAAGGGAGAATCCATGTTGATGACATATACATTCTCTTGATGAGAGCCTGTTAAAGCGAGATTGTCATCTTTGTCAAAGACATAACATATATTCTTGAGAAATTTAACAGTGAAATCTTTATCACATAGTTGACTGATGCTTAGAAGATTGTGCTTCAGTCCTTCAACATATGCAACACGTCTGAAGGTGGTTGCACTGTTGATTAATATACCAAAACCTTTGGGTATATCCTTTTCCGTTTCCTCCAAAGGTAACGGAAGGACCTCTTTCATATGTATATCTAGATAGCAGGTTTTATCTTCAGTCATATGCCTTGAGCATCCACTATCTAAATACCAGATACCTTTGACTTTGTGAGTAAAGGTTGATGGAGAGGGATCACTGGACGATGATGTCTCAAATGGTTCATCCTTGACATCCTTGGCCATATGACAAAGATAGGTCAAGTCTTCCTCATCTGAGGATGATTCATCAGATGAATCAGCCCAGTCATGTTATTCAGTGATAAGTCATTTGCTTACGGTGGAAATTATTCATCTTTTTATACTTCTTCTTCAGTTTCAGATACTTGTCGTTTTTAGGCCTGAAGGAGGATGAGATGTTGGAAGATGGCTTCACATCTTTCTTTGACATGCATTCACTTACAAATGTCCTTTGTGTTGACAGTTAAAGTAGTTAGCTCAGGCCTTCACAATAGGATTTGACTTTGATTTGTCAGCGATAGTTAGAGAAGGAGATCTGCAAAAACTATTTTTTCTGGAAAACCTTCTAAAATTGTTTGTAAGGAGGGCCAGAGACTCATCAAACTCTGATAAATCAGCGTCTATTAATTCCTCATATTTAGAAGGATCTAACTCAGTGATAGTAAGAGAAGAAGAAGGAATAGAAGAAATAGAAAAGTCAGCTGAAAGGGTTTCAGAGATCAAAGCTAAAGGGGAGTTTTTCATTTCTCTAGAATCTTTAAAAAGATTCTTTTTCAGCTAATGGGATTGCTCATGATTAAGCAATATCCCATAAAGAGTGCTAAGGGAAAGAGATGACATATCCTTAGATATCTTGAGACACATGGTGTAACTATCCCATGATTCTGGCAAGCATTCTAAGAACTTTCTCAGGGTCTCAAAATTGGAATATTCTCTTCCAAATGTTCTTAGATCGATAAGAAGACAACGAAAACGTTGATGTACTTCAGACAAAGATTCAGATTTTCCACAGAGAAAATTTGTATATTGTCTTACTAAATTAATCCTACTCGATTCTTGTACTTTAGATGTACCTTTGTATTGAACGCAAAGAGTGTCCCTCATGGATTTTGAGGTTCTTAACTTCATAACAAAGTGATAAACCTTGTCAGGAAGAGACATGGCTATTATAGATCTAGCTCTAGTATCTAAAGCCATTTTCTTCTTGTCTTCGTCATTCCATTGATGAGGAAGTTTCGGAATCTGCCTTTTAGAAATGGCGGCAGTCGTAGCAGTTGCAGGAACTACTGGAGATATTGCAAATGGAACATAAGGTCCATTTTTAATATAGCATGGAACTTCAGGATCCATACCTTTCAAAAAAAAAGACATCCGATTCTTCCAAAGATTGAAGTTGTCTCTGATGAACTGGGGAGGTTTGGCTAGAGAGTCTTAGTCGTGAAAGTTTGTGTTTGTATTTTTCAATGTCATTTGAACAGTAAATAAATTATCTTAAAGAAAGAAGAGATAATAAAACACTACTCTGATACCACTTGTCGGTCCCAAATAGATCTACAAGAGTTTAGAGATAACAGTTTGTAGAAAGGGGGGATGAATACAAACACGGGATTTTTTTCACTTTTTAAAATCCTTTATTAATAAAGAAGATCAATACAAAATTTACAGACTGTTTGCAGAATAAGATAAGATACATAACTAATCTAAAACAATCTAGGGAACACACAAGATATAGAAAGCAAGAAAGAAAAGACTTGCTAAAAGAAGAAATAATAACTTCACTAAAAAAGGAGCTTAGTTGGTGTTCTTCACTTGAAGTAAAGATAACTTCGAAATATTAAGAAAAATGTGCTTGTGAGGAAGTCCTTTCTTGGATAGAAAGTTGATCTTCAAGATATAAGCTTCCTGGCTTCTTGGTAGTGCAAAGGAGGAGCTTCTCAGCTATTTATACCCATTGCATTAAATGCAAGTCAGATAATACAAGACACGTGGAAATCTTCTAGGTGAGTTTGTTGTTTGTCTTCGGATATACAGAATTTTGTCGTATATGAACAGTAGTCTTGCACAAAGTAGGTAAGCACGTTTGGAGACAATAGAGTGACTCTGTACGAGTGATTTACTTTGAGAGGTATGGGTTTGTCCTTTGTGTATAGCAGGATAAGACAAAAACTAATCTTGGTCAACGAGATTCATTGATCGTTGACACTAAAATAACACTAGGGTTTCTTCAATGTATGTTGAATCTTGAGTAGACTTCACACATTTGCATATAGGCTTGTTATCAGTAAAACCGCATTAGATCACGAACTGCTTGTCAATGTCTTCAGCTTTATCTTTGATATCATTGAAGGTTCTTGTGGTGTGAGTTTTGTCTTCTTGAAGAATACTTATCTCTTGATAGAATAATACTTGTTCAGCGCTTATTGAACATGCTCACTGATGATCGTTGAAACTGAATAAAGAGAAAGTACTTTTTGTAAGATAAAAATGATCATCAACAAATCACTGAAAAAGAGGATCAACATGCCTAACCAGTCATAGGCCACATCTGCCTCTCGCCTGTACAGCCAAAGGGAAGCCAGGCCATAGGGCTCATCCTCTCAAAAGAGTAAGACCTTTAAACATATAAGTGGTATGTATCCCCATACCACGACACTTTCCCACATAGAGAGGAATGTGTTTCTTATGGATAAGTAGTTATTCCCCTAGCTTGTTTAGAGCAAGCTCTAGGTGTACCAGACTCTGAGGCTCTCGACAGGCCTCTTAGTCCACTCATTGACGACCTTCCATACAACTCTAAATTGGATGTTAGAGCTCGTCATGACAAAATATTTGTAGTATTCCCTTCTGATGAAGAGGTATGAGGATCATACGAAAATCCTTCCAGACTTAATGTACAAACAGGTCTGAGCAAAGGTGTCCTTGGAACAAGGACTAACTCTGGCCCATGTGTTGAGCCAAAGGTTACCCCTTCTAACTATGTCACAAAGATAGAGTTTCATGCCTTTGTCACCTTTGTTCAGAGCTCCTTGGAAGAGCTAAAACTTACAATGACCCGTGCAGAGTCATCAACATCTGC